CCGCTCCGCTGCTCGCACAATGTTTCACTGATCAAAAATCCCTGAGGTCATTTTGAAGGTACATGTATTGAGATGATGTGGAGCGATTTTGAGGTGAATCGGTGAAACGGCTGAGGAGGAGTCGCTTTCCAACCGACATGTATGAAAACTTTTGCTGTTCATTTTTCCATTTTGCAGTGAAATTTATGGGCTTCCTGTTTGTCAGAGGGCGGGGCCATAATAATATTTTTTTCTTGTCTTGACTTGACAAACATGTGTACCAAATTTCATGACTCTATGACAAACTTGATCTCCAAAACTCCCATAGGGGTATTATTTTGGCTGTTGTAGGTGGCGCTGTTCCGTCATTTTTTGAGTCCCATAAAAATAAACACCAAAATATCAAATTTTTCGCCAGGTCTGATTTTTGGGCCAAAATTAACAACTTTTCATGCATGTTCAGGGGGTCAAATTAAGGCTCAAAGTGCAGAAGAAAAAAGAAAGAAAGAAAGAAAGAAATAAATAATTAAAGCCGCAAGCGGCGTCAAACGGCCCTCGCCGCACCGCGCGACTCCCCGCACCGCGCGCACCACCCCGTTCCACGCCGCCCCGCACCAAGCCACCCCGCACCACGCCGTCCCGCATCACGCCGCCCCGCACCAAGCCGCCCCGCACCAAGCCGCCCCGCACCAAGCCGCCCCGCACCGCTCCACAACGCCCCGCACTACGCCGCACCACACCGTACCACGCAGCACCGCTCAAAGGAGGTGGCGCCGTTGTGTGATGATTTGTTCCCGTAGCCATAGAAGATTGTTAGTCAAATTGTAATGAATATGATAAGTAGAGCTGGTTTGGCTCCCCATGTAAACTTTGACTCAGTCTTTAGGGGGCGCTAATGGGCCAATTTCAAATATTTCACTTTCACCTGACCTAAACCCTGGAGTTGAACAATGGATTCAAGTTTAATGCAAATCAGTCTTTGTTTGTGCAAACGGGGAAGAAATGTATGTTGTCAAAAACGGCCAAAAAAACCCTCACATTTGGCCGCTCCGCTGCACAAACAACGTTTTACTGATCAAAAATCCCTGAAGTCATTTTGAAGGTAAATGTGTTGAGATGATTTGTAACAATTTTGAGGCCAATCAGTGAAACGGCCGAGGAGGAGTCGCTTTCCAACCGAAGTGTATGAGAATGATTGGTTTTCATTTTTCCATTTTGCAGTGAAATTTATGGGCTTCCTGTTTGTCGGAGGGATTAGTCATAATTAAATTTTTTCCATGTCTTGACTTGCGGAACATGTGTACCAAATTACATGGTTCTACGAAAATGTTGACCTCGAACCCCTCCCATAGGCATTTTTAAATTGGCTGTTGTAGGTGGCGCTATAGAGCCAATTTCAAAATTCTAACTTTCAAATTACCTAGACCCAAGAGTTAAACCATGGATTCAAGTTTTGTGCAAATCAGACTTTGTTTGTGCAAACGGAAGCAATTTTTCTTTTGTCAAAAACTGAAAAAAATACGCCACTTTTTGGCGCTCTGCTGCTCAAACAACGTTTCACTGATCAAAATTCCCTGAAGTCATTTTGAAGGCAAATGTGTTGAGATAATGTGGAGCGATTTTGAGGTGAATCGGTGAAACGGCCGAGGCTGGTTTGATGTTTGTGTGAGGTGTACATTTGCAATGAATGGGGAGCGTTTGTCGTCGCCACGGCAACAGGGTAAAAAATAAGGCTTGGACCCTGTTGACTTTTTGAATCAAGAGGGCAAAACAGATTTATGTGCAAAATTTCAAACATTTTGAAAGAACTAAATTTGAAAATGCCCATCTAAAACTTTGAAATAGTCTGTAGGGGGCGCTAATGTGTCAATTTGAATTAATTCACTTTCAAACTACCTAGACCCTAGAGTTGAACAATGTATTAAAGTTTTGTGCAAATCAGACTTTGTTTGTGCAAACGGGAGCAAATAGAAGGTTGTGAAAAACGGCCAATAAACACTCACATTTTGCCGCTCCCCTGCTCAAACAATGTTTCACTAATCAAAAATCCCTGAGGTCATTTTGATGGTACATGTGTTTAGACAATGTGGAGCGATTTTGAGGCCAATCGGTGAAACGGCCGAGGAGGAGTCGCTTTCCACCCGACATGTATGAAAACTTTTGCTGTTCATTTTTCCATTTTGCAGTGAAATTTATGGGCCTCCTGTTTGTCAGAGGGCGGAGCCATGATAACATTTCGGTCGTATCTTGACTTGAGGAACATGTGTACCGAATTTCATGGCTCTACGACAAACTTGACCTCTGAAACTCCCATTGGCTGTTGTAGGTGGCGCTGTTCTGGCATTTTTTGAGTCCCATAAAAATAAACACCAAAATATCAAATTTTTCACCAAGTCTGATGTTTGGGCAAAATTTTACAACTTTTCATGCATGTTCAGGGGGTGAAATTAAGGCTCAAAGTGCAGAATTTGACATCTCGAGCAAAAACAATAGGCCCTTTCCCCGTTCGGGGCTCGGGCCTAATAAAAAAGGAATTTTTTTCGACGTCTCGAGCAAAAACAATATAGGTTTCAATGGCACGTGATACATAATTTTAAAGCTTTTGAGTTTACGCACGCAACCGTCACATTTTGGTGAGTGACTGGCGCTGACGCGTCCGTCACGCACCGCCACCATTTGTTTTCACCATTGTGAAAGCAATAGGCCCTTACCCCGTTCGGGGCTCGGGCCTAAATAGTCCAAGGTTGATTTGGTCTTCTGATAGATTCAAAAAGTTGATTCATTTTTTTAAGATTGGAATGTTTTCATACCTGACAGTAAGTAGTAAGGAAGTTATCTTTATTTATATAGTGCATTTCACAGACCGACGTCACACAAATAACTTTACAATTTAGTTTCCCAGTGATATCCATCTAAAGTGAGACGTCAAACACACCAGAACATCAAAACCCCTGACCATCCCCATTACATTCAGTCCTGTTTTTAGTAGGGGTAATCGGAGCACCCAGAGGAAACCTATGCAGACGCAAGGAGAACACACACTCAAAAAAACAACTCTTTGAATGAACATAAATCATGGAAAGTATTTCCACATAATTAAATGGCTTTCTTTCAGCATTAACCAATTTTGTTAATCCAACTTGATGCACTTGACTTGGTTCAACACCATATATTAGGGTTGATTTAACGCATTTACTAGGTTTGGGACCTACTTAATGTAGATGTGTTGGATCAATTAATTAATTAGGGTTGATTTAACTTGGTTCTTTGGGCTAGGACTCACTAAATACAAAAGTATTAGATCCACTTATTTGACAGTAGTGAAATTACAAAACTATCTTAAGTTGTTCCAACCCAAGTAAAATATGTTAGCCCAACAGAAATGGTTAATGCTGAAAAAAAGCCATTAAATCACATGGAAATACTTTCCATGATTTAATTAAGGTCATTTAAAGAATACAATTAAAGTGTAAACACTTTAAGGTTTGCAGTGAATAGTATCAACAAAGTCTACAGACTGCTTGGTGTCAAGAGTAGAAAGAAAAGACAAATAGTAGATATTGCCATAAAAATGTATTTTTTCAAAAGTGCATCAAAGTTTTACATGAACAGTTGCTTGCCACAGAACAAAAAATTAAAACTTTTTTTAATGACAATCTGGTATAATGCTGTACACTGCTTTTTTTTTTAAGTGCCAAGAGAATGAATTATAGAACCTAGTACTATGAAAGAAAAAAAAATTTAAGATACTTTTGGGAGTTGGATCCCATCTTTGCAGTCCCCTTTTAAAAGGAATAGGCCACTGTTTTTACATACTGAGATATGTTCTTACCTGAGCTTAGACGAGTTCCTGTCTGGTCTCCACGTGTGCCTTCCGTAACGTAAACACAGCACAGACGGCGTTAGCATTTAGCCTCTCTCTTCTCTTCTATAGCTCCAAACGAGGTGAAGATAGAAGCTACCAAACTCTTCCACGTTTTCCTTTTTAAATATGGTTACATGAAGTGTTACACTATAAAGTATAATTACACAAAATTAAACAATGTGGATTTTCTAAGTGGATAAAAAGGCATCCGCGCAGTGACATCTTCACTTTACTGTGCGGATGCCGAATTTCTACTGGTATTATTACGCCTTACAATATAGTTCCCCTTTTTATCCGCTTAGAAAATCCACATTGTTTAATTTTGTGTAATTATACTTTATAGTGTAACACTTCATGTAACCATATTTAAATAGGGAAAACGTGGAAGAGTTTGGTAGCTTCTATCTTCACCTCGTTTGGAGCTATAGAAGAGAAGAGAGGCTAAATGCTAACGCCGTCTGTGCTGTGTTTACGTTACGGAAGGCACACGTGGAGACAAGACAGGTACAGATGAACTCGTCAAAGCTCAAGTAAGAACATATCTCAGTATGTAAAAACAGTGGCCTATTCCTGTAATGTTTTACTTTCCACTAAAATATTTGCATATTTAAACTAATATCAAAAAGTAGAAACATGTAGATGCTGCCACAAATTTTTTTTTTCTCCAAATAAGTAATAATGCAACAGTTTTTGCACTTGTGCTGTTGAACTTACTGAAACATAGGTTAATAGAAGAACATGTCCATGCCACATTTAGGGGATTTACAGTATAGAAAACCAGTTCAAATGTAACAAAGAAAAATAAAAGTACTTCTTAACCCCCACCTGAACCAAGCACAGTGTCTCCAGTTTGGCAATACCCAAATCTAAAAGCTTGAAAAAAAAAAAAAAAAGTGTCATAACAGCAACAAAATTGTGACAAAAAAAGCAATGAAAAAGTGACAGAAAAGTGTCAAATGCAACAAAAGAGCAACAAAAACATGACAAAAACATAAGTGATGGGAATGTAACAAAAAAGTGATGAAAAAACAGCAACAACGCGAGGAAAAAGATCTGTTTTTATACATTTTGTAGCTTTCAAATGAGGCCTATAGGCCAGTGAACTCATGTCGAGAAGCTTTTAGATTTTGGTAAAACTGAACTGGAGAAAATGCACTCAGTAAAGGCGCGAAGGAGTCCCTGACAGATTGTCAAAACCTCTTACCCCCGCCTTAACAAACGGCAAAGCAATGTTTTGAGAACTTGTATCTTCCTGGATAGTCGGTTTCCATCTAGTTCCATTATGATCCTCTGCAATGCTTCAAAGGTATATTTTAGCTCTGGAGGGTAGCTCAAGTTTAGAGCATACACAAGAGCAAGCAACATTGCCACAGCAAAGGGAACATTTACCAACTCTTTGAGTACTTCCACCCCCTCCAGAATGATTCCAACATCCTCAGGGTCATCACCAGGCTCTGCTCCTTCATGTCGCATGACAAAGATTCCAAAGACCGTCGCTGCCATGGCCGTGCCAATGTTTTCGTCAGCCGTCTGACAAAAAAATAAAAAAATAAAAAACATTAACAAAGTCGGAGCAAAAGTCTGACCGGAGAGAGAGAAGCAGAGGGAACCGTAAACAGAAGAATACATTATTAGAAGAGTAAAATACCAATACTTTACGCAATTAGACAAAGAATTTGATTGCAAGTTATACTTATTTTTAGTTTCTCTCAAATTTCCTATTTTTGTTTGACATTGAAGAAGTTTTATTTGTTTCTTTTGGCACAAAAATGATTCCATACAAACCCAGGAGGCAGTGCACCATTTGAGAGGAGACTTAAGACAGCCAACCAGGGTTTCTTTACCTCCAAAAACATGCTGGCCGGCCCACATTCGATGCACAGCAGCTCAGGACTAACACTTGGACACAATTTTGTTGTACGGTTGTACAGTGAAAAATAAAGCACTTATGTATTTACAAGATTACGAGAGACTGGTGTATGTCAATGTATGATTACAAAATAGATTTTGAGCAATGATACACCAATCATGCCAGTTGGCCCAATACATTTTTCTTATGTGCAGGTATCAATTTGTAAGTTAAGTGATTTGTTTACAAATACAATGCAGTTGGCAAGTAGGTAGATTTCAAAGAGGTTTTTAAGACCTTATCTTTCCCAATTTTACAGCTGATTGGAACCCAGAGGAAATCCCATTCATACAAACTTATCAAAATCTCAGCAAACATAAGATAAACATACCGTGTATTCCTTCACCAGCTTCTCGGGATCTTCATTCAAGTAGACACAAAGACCTTTGAGGACGCATTCTCGTCTGACGTCAATGCTGTCTGTCTAAGTATGCAGATCAGAGAGGAAATGCAAAACAAAAAACAAACAACGTTAGGAAAACCATCTCAACCTTCTAGCAGAGCAGGTTTCACAAAGTTTAGACAACATTTAACTAGTTTCACAGCTAGTCACAACTTTGAAGCCATTTAGAGATTAGAGTAGTAGTGAATACAGTGGTTCTCCAAAGGATTGTGAACCCGTCATGAATAGTCTGGCCTTTTCATAAAAGATGATTTGTACAATTTCAAACTGAAGCTTCTTTCCTGTAAATCTACCCTCTTCAGTTAAATTTATACAAGTGCACAGGAACTGATTTGAGCATGTCCCTTACTTTTAGAACATTAGCCATTTCCACAATAGTCAGGCTTTCAGTTAATTTCTTAACCCCCCATTTAACCAAGCACATTTTCTCCAATTTGATTTGACCCAAATCTAAAAGCTTCTTCAAAAAATGCGTCAAAATAGCGACAAAAACAAGACGTAAATGAGGATGAACATGCAGCAAAACAGGCGACAAAGGAGCAACAAAAACACAAAAAAGCGTCCAAAATTTATATGAAAAAGCAACAAAGACATGAGAAGTGAAAATGAGAACGCAGCAAAAAAGCTACTAAAATAATATGATGAAAAAGTGACGACAATGCGAGAAGAAGTGTCAGATCCGTTTTTAAAGTAAATAAGGTTGTAAGCTCCAGCAGAGAAGCTTTTAGATTTGGGTAAAGCTAAACGAGAGATAGTGTGCTCGGTTTAAGTGGGAGTTAAGAGGTTAAGTTTAAAAATGACAGCAGTACAGGTTGAACAGTTGTTTTTTCCATCGTTATCATACCTGGGTTAAAGGTACCATGATGTTCTTGATTTTTCACCTTTCTAGGCATACACCTTGAGCAGTTTAGCAGAGTGAGCATCCAGCTCAGCGAAGAACTTTGACTGTAGATGCGTTGTGATTCTTTTGAATTCGGAACTCACCTACAACAGTAAAAATAAAATGCCTATTTTGAGATCAATGTTACATTTGATATGGCAGTACATTATCTTAAGGAGTTTTGCATTTCTCTAATGTAGCACTGTGTTTTAAATTAATATCAGTTTGTTCCGTCAAACATTCATTCTTACCTCACGCACATGGAAGAGAGCCGGCCACCTCGTTTTGAAATCTGCAATCATGGGTGCCTCTCGGACTACCTCTTCCCTTCTGAGTGCGAAGGTCTTGTCCATCATCCTTGCCACCTTGTCGTCGTTATTTCTTTTCTGTACTTCTGACAGGAGGCCCACTCTTATCACTTCTAGCGTCTCTGCAGTTTCACCAGTTGGATAGGTTGGGCAATAATTCACTTCTGCTTTTTTTGGCCTCTTAACACCATAGGCAGGACTGACTTTGCCGTCAGGCTTTTGTTTTAGGGAATTCAGTGTAACTTCAGGGCACCCAAGCCCCCTGAGCTTTGTTCTGTAGTTAGCGAGTTTATATTTCAAGCTTGCCTTCCATCCGCCATATCCAGAGAGAGAACCTGGCTCTTTCAAACATGGATGCTTTGATACAAGAGCTTCTGCCACGTCGTCAAACTCTGAGTCAGAGAGGTACACTTTGTACTGAATGATCATTTCAGCTAAGCCATTAAGAATGGCGGATTTTAGTTTCACATCAGGATTGAACAAAGTTCCGGTTGCTTTGAAAGCAGCATTGGCCTTGTCCAGCTGTAGCTCAGCATCATAGGAGAATCTGGGAACCTGGAAGACCACTGGCCATGCAGTTGATCTTGAGGAGGTGGACTCGGGAGAAGATAGCTCTTTTGATACAGACATACTACCAGATGAAACTGAGGAGTCATTTGGAGAGCAGGACGACGACGAAGCTGAGGAGGGAGGTGGTGCGGAGCCACCAGGTTGGGCATCTGAAATGTAGATTACCTTAATGATACCTTTGTCCTGGACATCCGATATTGACAGCAAGTTGCTGAATTCATTCCCAAATTCTGCATCCATGAATTGAAGCCTGAAAACCCCTTCAATTCCACACTGTCTCTTAATTTGCTGTGCGAGTTAATTGACAGACTCTGGAATCCCATCTGGAAGAATCAATCTCTGGGAATTATTGTCTCCTAGTATGATTCTGAGTTTCACCGGAGCAGCCATTACACAACAGACTGTGGAAAGAATTAGGAAAAAGAATATTGTAAGTTTAAACAAGAGTATATCTGAATTTTTACAGCAATAAGGACAAAAGACTTGTCTCTTATGCATTATCTCTCATCTGTTCTCTCCCTCCTCTCCCTCCCTCTGAAGGTTACTCCACTTTATTACTCTGCGTATACATTTGTTTGAAAACTGCAACTCCCAAACATACAGGCAACAGTTTCATTACTCTTCAAATGAGTTCCAATATGTACTAAATAATCCTTTTCTGTAGGCAGATCACAACAAGTGCACAAATGACAACTGAACGTTGACAATTCCAGCTGCTCCTGAGAGTTTTGCTTAGGATGGACTCTACTTAAATGAATGTGAAGAGCATTCCATGTCTTAAAAGTACATGGGCACTTTGTGTGTGGACAGGGGTAATGTTGCCTATGACGGTGCTGTAGTCTCATATGTTTTAGTAGCTCAAATCTACCGGATAGAGATACGTTACACTCCTTACAGTTCCACATGTCCTCACCTAAAGAAATTCACTGTTTCAGGTAGACGAATTTTTCGAGCTGGCACTTATGCAGTTGAATGGCAGCAGAGACAGGCGTGGCCGGACAGGACACTCTTGTGGTAGGGCAGCAGACACAGGTGTGGTCGGAAAGGACACTCTTGCGGTCAGAAGCTGCTGTAATAAATTGAGAACAATTATTTATTAGATCAATTAATTCCCATGAAAATAGGCATGTAATCACTGACAGACGTGGATCTACAGGTAGCTCACACAGACTAGGAATTTATCAATAGACACAATGAGTTCATAACATAACCTCTTAAAAATGATATTACAATGTTTTCATGTTAATGAGCCATAAATAACATTATGATAAAAGTGCTCTCGTGACTGATGCAACACGTTTCTGAATGTTTTATATCATTGGTAATATGAAATGGCTTTTCTTGTATTTTGAGTCATGTTATCAAATATTTTCAAATATGATATTCTGTTTAAGAAATTAAGAGGAAATTTACTAATTATTCCATCTCATTTTTTATAGACAGATTTTTGTACACCAAATTAATAATTAAGTTTCTTTACTCATTTACATTTCCTTGAGCAAATTCGGATTAAGGAGAAAAGTTATAGCTGACAGAATCGGACATATGCACTTTATTCAATAATATTTATTGCACTGTTCAGAGACAAAACATTCCATGTCCAAAATTTACTCATTGCCTGTGCTGTATTCATTTAATGAATAGTACTTATCACTAATTGGCTTCTTTTTGCTTTAGTACAACTGTGTGAATTTCCCTTTACGTGTGTTTTGTAGACTAACTGGCCAGTTGCCTAAGCGACAGTATTTTTATTATTTTTGCTCCATCTAAATTTCGTTCAATATGGACATGCTATATCTCTATAAATAGCATTTTCTGAGTACTTTTTAGTCGCTAGGTTAGTTTTACAGATAAATTAAGCACGTAAGCGCAAAGCGCTAACTAGCCGCTAGCCGGCTAGTTAGCAACATTAGCGGCTTGTAAACACAGCAGACCCAGCACTGAGGCACAAAAAGACAACATTTAGCTCTGGTTAAATCTAGCACTGTTAAATATCTGTGAGTAAGACCGCACTACGAGGACTATTGTCTTTCCATGGAAGAATTCACCAGTGTGCTCTTAGCTCTCCTCAGCTGAGAGGAGTGTCCCTTACTGTAGGTGCACTGCGCCGCACATCAAGTGGTATCAGATACTTTTATCGAGACCACATTAAAGAGTACGAGTCCAAGAGTGTGGTATCCATGGATCTAATCGTGGTATCGGGCGCATCAAGAAACGCACGCATGAAGCCCAAAGCAAACGACAGCGGAGAATACAGAGGAAAACAATCGTTAGCATTATTAGCAGATAACTCGGCCCTAGAATTAGCGTGCAGCCGTGACAATTTAAATGCATGTTTTGCGTCGTCCCGCAAAATAAAATCAAGTTTTAGGCCAGATTTTAAAGTAAGCGTCAGCTGTGGTAGTAAGCGGAGGTTTACCTGCCTGCACTGGAGCAAAGGCCCGTTTCCTGCAGGTGTTGCTGTAAGCAGCGTGATGAGGAGGTGCACCCTCCAGTGCAAAACATATCTGATAAACTTTTCGATCACTCGCACAGATGCGTCCTTTTTAAAATTGTACTGTCAGTTGACAAAACAAGAAAAACTAAATGTCGCACATGCAACCACTTTAGCCTCAGTCTAGATCCCTGTCAGACGGTCGACTGTTAATATATTTTTTTAAACAAACTATAATTTTGACTAAATATCGCTGAAAATGATGGACTACAGCTATTTCTACATAGTATTTCGTTTGCGTTAAGAAGGATGAAAATGGATTTCTGCTTACCAATTCCATGTGCACGCCGGTCTTCCTCCCATGTTTCCTTGTAAAGTATCGCGTGAGCAGGGTCTTCACGTTCAATGTGCGCTTTGCTTTTCCCGCCCACCATAAGGACGCAATTGCCTCGCTTTATGCCAACATGAATGAATCTAATACATTCAATTAGTTGTCTGATTTCATACATTCACCATGATTTTATCTTGTTCATCTTGGAAACATGAAATTATAGCTTACGTTATACATGTTACACTTTAGCAAATGTAACAGCCCAACAATTTCCCTTTTTTGAGTGCACACAGTTTTGACTGCTGTCTTCCTGAGAGTGGTCACATGTTCCAGTGACGTGTTTTTTCAGTGTTTTTTACACATACAGTATTTAGCGCTGTCTTCTCACCACTGGAGGCAGGACAAAAAAAGAGACTTCTAGAACGGAAATGAAATGCTCAAAAGGTGTGTAAGCAGTTGATTTTTCTTTTTTATCTTATCTTTGAATAGAGCTAATATTTAGAATCCCCTGTGTCATCAGATAAATTCCAGGCAATTACAACAAGTGAGACTGAGACGTGAGTTGTTTTTTTTTCTTGACAGATAGATTTTGTTTTTATTCTGAATCTCTGTGGGACTTTTTAATTAGATAAAAGGTACAATACAATAACAAAACAGGTCTGTTGGGGTCCACACAAACATTAAAATGGAGAAGTAGTTTTTAATTGGGAGGTCGTCTGGTGACCAGGAGGCCCTAACCAGTTGCTTGGTCTGCTTTTGATTTTTGAATAAAATTGAATTCAATTCAATTCAATGTATCTTTGTACAGCCCGAAATCACAACTATAGATACTGTATCTTGGAAGACGATGAAGATGTCAACTCGCCAACACCGATTAGTGAATCAAACAGTTCAAACATAGGGAGTGCAATGATTAAAAAAACACATAGAGCCATTGTCTATTTATAGACTCTCTAGCCTGGCCTTAGCCATCCCTGCATTTACCTTCCGGGTCTAGTCCCAGTGTCTGCAATTACATCGGTTGATTCCCATCTGACCAATCAACAAACGTGTGAGGCGGGTGTTGTAGGTAGGTGTGGGTGACGTCAAGAAATTGCGGCAAATTGGCTGGTTGTAGTTTGCCAATGGCGAAGAATTCAATAGTAAAGTCAAAATTAAAGCTGGAGCAAGAAGAATGTTTAGCAAATGTCATTGCTGGCAAAGATTGTGCCACAACTCGCCACTGGCTCCGTTAGCGGCAAAGGAGATGGCATGGCTAAATGCTAAATGCTAGCTCACTCACTCGGGCGCGTTACATACGTCACGGTAAACTCAGATCCAAACTCCGATCCGTTTCAATCTGCAAAAGGAGTTAACCCCTCTCACCTGTTAATGAAGCTGAATGTACTGTAGCAAAGCCAGACCTTAGTGAAATGCAATTTGTACTATGGTATGGTATGTCCAGGCTATAGACCCTCCTGCATCAGTAAGAAACAACTCTAAAAACTCAGTGGGAGAAAATGAGAAACCTCAGGGAGGCCCAAGTTGAATTGAATTGTATGTTCCTATTGGATAAATGTGATTCAAAGACAGTAACCTCAATATCTTTTATTAGAATCAACATGATGCCTGTACACTACGCGTGCTGCCTCAGAATTAAATCCTTTTGTTATCGTTCATTGTTGCAGTGTTCATTAATAAATGATTGCACCCAAATGTTAGTGTGACTTGAAGGGCGTGTTGCAGTGTCCTGGAGGGCCTGGCTAAAACACTGTCAGGTCAGCTCAACATCAAACGCAGCCCCAGTCCATCAGCAGCTGCTGTTTGGACACGTCTCCATGGCAACAGCATATATATATCTGCTGAATATTTTATGAGCGCTTTAGTTCAGGGGGCTTGTGTTGTGGTCATTTGCATGCACATATTTCATTTATGTAAATATTAGTCAATAGACGCACACAGTTCTTAGTCAACCACAAAATAACCACATTTTCTTATTGAGGTGAAGTAATTAATACATACTTTTATACAACTCAAACTTAACTTCTTGTCTGTTATATGCCACGCCCAGACTTGGCAAATGGAGACTGTTTACATCAGAAATGGCTTCTAGCTAAATGAAATCTCGGCACAAAAAGGGTAACCTCACTATTGGTGCAAAGCCATCTATTTATTCATATTATGGAGATGCACCTCAGTACTTTCCTCCAGTGACCTAATGCCAAGTTATTTCACTTACAGACAACTCACTGCATGGAATTTTACAGTTCTGAGACACAGTGTATAGATGTGGTTACGGCGTGAAGAACAAGCTGTGTCTTCTTCCCCAGAGAAGCTGTAGGTTTCCTCCAGAGATTCTGCTTCCTACCCTCTTGGCCTGAAAAGAACCATGTGTACGTCACCCATAAATAATGATATACTAGAGGTAACACAGGATTTCTGAAGGGTAGCCAATGTTTTGTTTGTGTGCTAGCTGCCTGTCTCCTCTTGGCCAAGGTTAGACGTACTCAAGAAACCTGCCAATATTTGTTGTCTTGTATTATGTACTAATCATAAGTGATGTAAAAAATCTATTCCAGAGACCCTTTAATAGTCTATATATTCAATTTAATAGTCTGTATATTTTTTATTATTGCAGTGGCCATAACTGTATGTCAAAGCCTGTTCCTGTCAGACCTCATGCAGAAGCTGAGCAGGTCAAGGCCCGGTTAGTAATGCGCATTAGCACTGATGGGAGACCCCTGGGAACACCAACCACAGTGAGAAAACCATGGCTGTAAAGTTCCAAACTGTTATAGTGGCAAGATGCTTCACCCACATTGCCATAGTATGAGTCAGGTGGTGGTCGTAGGGGCATGGCACACATTGTCGCCGTATTTATAGGGCACTTGAGCTCATAGTATATACAGTATACTACTTTACCATCACAAAAAGTCATTGGTGCAGATGATAACACGTTAACCAATATCCATAAATGTGCATAAGTCTGAGATCTAAAAAAACGCAAATGTAACACAGCTAAACATACTGTACATAGCACATGAATTTTTTTGTTTTTTTACTTAATCCATGATTGCTTACCTTCATCTTTTATTTTTACATCAGTCCACACCCGGTCTTATAACATCAAACGTTATTGTGCTACTAAAATAAATATTTTGGAATGAATAAACATTTCACAGATGACGAGGTAGAAGGGCAGACAATAGACTTAATAATAACAAGATAGAGTTTCTGTTCATAGATGTTTGTAATGCAACGTTTCATTTGTGAGCTCTGAATATACCATTTTATTTTCTTCCTCGTCCATAGCCTCACCTTGTCTGAGCTTTAACCTTGGTTACAATGTATAGGTCCTGTTGGAAGCTGTAAGAAAGAGGAGATTGTGAGGACAGGGCGGTCTGTGTGGGTGTGCCGTCATTATACCATTATACTGCTGTGCCTTGTACTAATTGGCCCCTTGGGAACAACCAACAGGCAGCATGGGGTCTCCAGAGTCCTGTAGTTATTTGGGAATGAAGGTAAGTGCCCGGGTGTGGCAAAATCCTATATTTTTTCACCTCCAAACAAAGGCATTCTCTTCCATTTTAGTAACAAATTGCTTTGATACCATAGAACTTATTTGAACAAGGCATGTTGCCCTTGGTGTTGACAGGAAGTGTCTGATTTATTCCTTTGCAAGTCTATGAATTTGTATATATTGAGCACCTCTAGCTATATTTATTACCTCAAAAATGAGCCGAGGAACAAATTATTCGATTTTGGATCTGATTCAGATCCTCGTCTGGATCCAGGATAAAAACGAACAAGGCATTTTGGTGGACATATGTGCTCTATGAGAGCTATTATAGTTTATTCTTTATTACAATGCAGCAATGTTGTTCTGAGAGTGGGAGGAGAAGCTGAAGCGCCATATTGCAGCCTTTTGATAAACAGTATGCACATGTAGCAAATTCAACTTCACTTGGGGAGGTTATTGATATCTGAGGCGAAGGTGGCAGTGTTTATGTCCTGAATTTTACGGAAAGAAATGGTTCGGGGAAGGATGGTCTTGGAGAGGGTGAGGTTGATATTGAAGGTGATGAGCTTATGGTCTGTGTATGGGAGTGTGTGAGGTTTACAGTCAGTGGGAGTGAGACCAGAGCAGCAGATTAAATCCAAAATGTGACCTTTAGTGTGGGTGGGGAAATGAATGTGTTGTTGTAAACCAAAACTATCTAAACAGGAGGAGAAGTCTTTGGTGAGAGGGTTGCTATTATTGTCCATGTGAATGTTGAAGTCCCCAAGTATGACTGCGTTATGAGAGATAGATGAGAAGTGTGTTAGAAGGTGAGAAAAGTCATTTAAAAAGTCCTGATTAAGTTTTGGCGGGCGGTAGATGGTGGCAACAACAGTAGGAGAAGGTCCAGGCAGCAGTGAGGCAGAGTACTCGAAGGAGGAGAAGACAGGGGCAGCAGGCACAGGTGTGACTTTCCAAGTCTCGCGGTGAAGCATCGCGAGACCTCCGCCCCGGCGGCCACAGCTGCGGGGCTGGCAGATGTAAACAAACCCCGGTGGAGTGGAGTCGTTCAACGCGGCAAAGTCATTTGGCTGCTGCCAGGTTTCGGTCAAACACAAGAAGTCCAGCTTACGGTCGACGAGGACATCCCGGACCAGATGGCCCTTGGTGTTGAGGGAGCGCACGTTGAGGAGACCAAAGCTGACGGTGGTGGAGCTGTTCTTGGCTGCCGCGGGCTGAGCCGATCGGGCCACGCTGACCAGGACACTGTCAGCGTCCCGACCAGCGGTGCGGGAGCAGCGGCGAGTGGTGGACCAGAGGGACTTTATTGAATGGGAGTCCTTGTATTGGAGCTTACGGCGTGATCCACGGTGAACGTACCGCCGCCGGGGCTGGAAGGCGATGCCCGGGGGGATGTCATGTCCGCGCTCCGGTGGCTGAAGAGGAGCGGGGACGTGGTGCCGAAGTTTTAAAAGTTCAGCAGCGGAGTACTGGAGGAGAGCATTGGCCTGCAGATGGACCAGGGACACGATGAGCCAGATGACAACAAGCCAGCGCGTTATATGGCAGACACACATCGTTTCCCAGGAGGGGAATACGACAGCCAGGGGTCCCAGGTATGAATATGTCCAAAATGCTTATGACAACAGCAAACTGTGGTTGATATCGAAAGCAGGTAAACAATCCTTAAAACACAACGTAACCACGACATCCAATATTGCGTAAACAATGTTTTAGTCCGTGTTTGTTCAGTGAGCAGCGGCTGCCAAAGCGCGCCAGCGTTCACTCACTGAACTCTCGCCAAGTTAAGTATTCAAGTTATTTTGGGCAATCTTTACAAGATGCCCTCTTCTCTGAAAAAAAGTTCTCAAGTTTTATTTTTGGTCATTTACTGACTGGCTTCATAAACAGACTTGTGGATCCACAAAACACTCATGTGTTCAGATTTGTTGTTGTTTTATTATCACCTTGGACATTAATTGCATTATCAAATCGTTATTTATTTTTTTACATTCCCTCATCGTGACGGTGCATTTATTTAATGGAGCAGTGTGTAAAAAAAATCTGGCCAAAAGTGGCACTGCACTCTCCCTGACTCAGGTTGCCAGATATGCAGACAAATCCACCTGGGAACATCATAACTGACTAGACAAGAGTTTTGTCAACAACAAATTTATAACTAATACCTTTTTCACAAAGGCCCCGATAGAATTCCTTGTTTTATTTCTTGTTTTAACGAGACCTATTTTAGTTCTGCGGCCACATGGTACTTTACCAGTAAGATTAGCTTAACGTGATGAGTTCTGGCGCCCGGATCACAGACTTTCTGATTGGTAAAACGGTAGAGGGCGGGACATCGAAATGAAAACAATAACAAGATTTAGGGGCTGTAAAACTGATTTGGAAATGATCAGTTAAAGAAGTATTGGATAAGAGCATGTTTTAATAATGCCTTTTAACATATTAGGGCCATTTAATGATGACTTGACATGAAAATCTTACATATTGCTACTTTAAAGACACATTCCTCAACTGCTTTTTGCTTGGATTCATTGTATGTTCTTGTTGATATTAATACAATATGACCACGGAAAGTTATTTGTGGAGAGGAAAGTCTTCTCGATGTAAAAAACAAAGTTTTTAAAGCACTAAAGTCATCCATAAGGAATGCCCATGTTTATACCCAAGAGCAAAAATATCCCTATCCTAAGACACAGGTATTAAACCACTTCACAAAAAATAGGTCACCAACAGGACTGTAGAGGAATGCATCTTTTACACTCGTACTAATAATTATATAAATTCTCAGAGACTCCGAGCAATGTCCAGTTATTTCTAAGCTCTTCTACTATCTCTTGTCAGGAAATAACAGCTTTCCGCCTCACAGTAAAAACGTATATTCAGAATCCCAGGGAGGAAATGCTGTTTATCCATCTGACCCTTTCGCCCTAGCACTTTCCCCAGACCATTTCTCTATCTACTGATACAGAATATTATGCGACAGATTTCTCCCTCTTCTCCTCCATTGTTCAGAAAGCGTTTTGGTTTGATCAGCAAATCGCACATATTCACTTCACAAACAACCTGTAATCAATTTCTCCATCCACCAAGTCTTATCGGCAGCTGCAGATTTAGCAGTTCATTATTTATTTCTCTTATCTCTGTCTGCTCAAATGTTGCTTGGATGGGGGAAAAAAGAATTCAACCTTTTTTTTTTTTCATAACAACTTCATAAGACAGGTTGTTACCAGGAGGTGAGTGCTGATAACCCCCCTTGGCATGCTCGTGGGTATAATTCAAGCTCCTACCAGCAAAAAAAGCCTTAAAGATACGCAGTGTTCACGGTATCAAACAGGGAGCGTGAGACCGACATGGCTGGATCACGTTTTTTCCTGTGGATTTATTAATCTTAAGGCTGTTGACTGGGTTTTTTCTGTTTTGACAGACAACTCATATTCCCGCGGTTCACTTGATCTCTCCAAATCTGATTGCAACCTTATCGGCCAAAACAGACTGCGCTGCTGAGCTATGGAAGTTTGTTCAACACACCAAGAGATCCGCATGTTGTTCGATATGGCAAGCATTAGACACATCATTATTGCGGACCCATTGACACTGATGGTGGCGGCTGCTACTTTGCGCGAAACCCCCCGGCGCTGGGCTAAATGTCTAATTGAAAGGCAGACGCTTCTGCATTTAAAACGGATTGATTTTGGGTTTGATGCAGTGGCGCCCGCTGTGATAATAGGAAAATAAACACGACGGATTAGAGTACTTTCGAAAGCAGAGGGCGCTTTTAGGCTGTCAGACTCTGCGCCAAATTGTTGTTTCATTCAGTGAGCTCTGTGCGCAAACATGAATACAAAAAGACTGGCCACTTTATTAGGCAGTGATGTGTTGTGTCCGGACGTATTGCACTCTTTGGACTGTTCCATAAGTATGACCACTGTTTTCAAAAAGTCTTATTTTTCTCTCTTGTTGAAATGGGCTTAGCCATTTCAATTTCAATGTAGCCTTGTGTAGCCCTAATTCACAACAGTAGTTATCTCAGAGGACTTTACAAAACCGTTTAGTTCGACAACACAGATAAAAGAATCAACCAGTTCAAACACAAAGAATAGAGGACACATGCAGTATGGGGGGAGTTGACCAATGTCCTTAAGTGTTTGTAAAGCTCCATAAATGTTGAATTGTTGAAAGTCCTGGATCATCACCACAGTCCTTTTTAGTTAGACCCACTGACAGTCTAACACTAACACCGGGCGGCACAGTGGATGAGTGGATAGCACTTTCGCTTTTCAGCAAGAAGGTCCTGGGTTCAAATCCCGGTCGGAACAGGACCTTTCTGAGTGGAGTTTGCATGTTCTCCCCGTGTCTGTGTAGGTTTCCTCCGGGTGCTCCGGTTACCCCTACCACAAAAAAACATGTACAGTAGGTCTGTCATGCACCTCCTGTACTGGCGACCTCACTCCCATCTCTGTATGAAGTAAGAGACAAACGCCCAAAGACCCAAAAACTCTAAAACCCAGTGGAAAAAAAGTGAGAAACCTCGAGGAGGTCAAGGACTCAGGCTACCAGTGACATTGGAGTGAGATGGTATTTATGTGACTGAAAAAATCACAAAATGGCATGATTTTTTTGTTGATGTGCTTTTAGAGAGAAAAAAAAGAGATAAGACCAGTGAGTATTCTTCCTTTGATTCCACATCTCCACGGAGAAATCTTTCCTCAACCAGACGACAGACGAGTTCTTTACAAGACACAAACGCCTACAATTAGTCTGTTCCCTGGTGTGAGAATGGTTGAGTGAGGAAGAGCTGGTGGTGATATGGTACATGATATTGGCACAGTTTTCTGTTCATAACATTTTGAATTTGTGCTCATAAAATTATATTGAGTGCCGCCTCATTTGTTCAGGCAAAGCAGAGGATTTCAACAAGCTGTAGCCGATAAAGGAGAAGGATGCAGTTACACAGGCTTCAGAGTCCATCCTCACCTCCCACTTTGACCGGGAAAACCCTTGAACGCATACTGCTGCAGACAAGCATAGCACCACGAGAGAAAACAAATGAATTTAATAATAACAATAATATTAATAATACATCAAACTTATATAGTGGTTTTTTTGACACTCAAGATGCTTTACAAAACACACAAAAAGTTGGAAATTTTATGGATTTCATTTTATATTTACTTCTGAATTACCACTACAAAATAACAGCCAACTGCCAAGTGAAAGCAAAATTATTTATTTTATTATACATATATTAAAAACAGAAATGTGGGGTTTGCACAAGCATTGAGTTGATACTGTACTTTGTGGAACTCACTTTTGCTTCATCACCGTAGCAAGTTTGTTACGCACAACTCCACAAACTTTAGATTGAACTTCTAATCATAATGTGTATTCATGCTAGATTACATACAGCTGTAAAATAATCAATCACTATGTATAACAGTATATCGTCTAGAGAAAGTTGAGCTATTTTTTCAGTAGTATGATGATTGAACTGTATAATGAAACCAAACTCGTCCCCTCTCAAAACAGATTGGTCCTATCTACGACCAATTTTCACATATTTCGGCCTCAGCGTTTTCAGACAGAAATATGAAATCAGCTCCCAGGCTAAAGCATCCAACAGTGACTTTCATGTATGAAAACTATAACATGTTTACTAATGAGAAACATGAAGACAGCCTGTGGTGGCCTGATTTGTTCGCAACATTTCGGTCTACAATACTCTTTATGTTAAGACAAACTACGTGGATTATTTTGGGGGTAAAAAGGTTAGGTAATGATAAATGATATGGTATATACTGTATGTGATTTCCTGAAATGTTCTCCAGAATGCCTTACCTAAAGTTTCTGTTGTATTGTTTTCAGAAGTGTGCTTCCGGGGCCTCACCTCGTGTCGTTTCTATATAATCTTCCACATAATGGGACCGTCTGTCACCCTCAGCTCCTCTTTATTCTAACAGCATGAGTCATTACGTCTTGTGTGCACCTCAGATTGGGGCCTGTGATGAGTCCTGTGTCACTGCCCACCCATTTGCTGATAGTCCACTGGTCACTCAGCTCCTCTGTCATTTTCCCTCTGCAGGCCTTTGAAGCCCGAGACCGAAATTAAAGATCTCCAGATAGAATCCATTTCTTTACTGCTCACGGCTCCTCCTTTTCTTTGCATCTAGCTCAGCGTTTTATACATCTCTGCTCTGTACCGTCCCGAATTATACGCTCATGTATTTTATGTCTGTTAAAGATACTTGAAACGCTAACTGGCCTTCAAGTTAGACTAATGCAAAGGGCTCCCTCGCAAATGACTTTTTAAGCAACGGAACGATGGCTTCAATGAAAAGCAGATTGTAGGTAAAATGGTGGGTTCAATAAAAAATGTATTGTCGCTATGCACATCAATAAACAGCTAATATGGAAAATATAGCAGTCCAGATATATTAAACTATTTCCCGTCTGTTGTGGTATGTATGCTTTTTTTTATTATATCCCCATGATTTGAACAGTAAAATAAATGGAGAAACATTTCTGTGAATAATTGACTGTCTGTAGTAACAAAACACAC